ACATAGCCATTATACTAACTGCTGGTCCCCCCTGCGTGAGTTTTAAGCCACCGGGTCCAGGACTCAAACCACAGTCCTCTACATGTGAGTCCAGTGATGTAACCATTATGCCATCTGCTGGTCCCTGAAAATGATTCATTTTTAACAAGTCTTACTCTAGTTAGGGGGGTACTCTAAATTACAGTGTTTTCAAACATGAAACTTATTCAAAATTGTTATTCATTTGTGCTCTTTAATATTTACTGAGGTACTTTTTTTTAAGAGAGTTTTTTATTTTTTGCTATAGGGCACATGTACTTGCCAGAGAGACAGAAAGTGAGAAATCACCCCCCACCCCCCGCCAGGGGCGATGGCCACGCTGCAATCCTTTCTCTTTCATTCTCCTCTATTCTCCTCTCAGGATGTTGGGCATGCATGCACTGCACCTGGTGTGAGTTTTAAGCCTCCAGGCCCAGGACTCGAACTATGGTTGACTACGTGGAAGTGCAGTGACGTAACCATTATGCCATCTGCTGGTCCCAAGTTGTTTGTTTTTAAGCTTCAATTTTTTTTATCAGATTATTTCATGGTATACATTCTAACATTTTTTTCAAACCATTGTCTCTCTCTTTGTTTTCTCTTTATTATGACATTTAACTTGAAGAGTTTCATTATTTGTTAACGTAGTGATGTTGGGATTTTTAATTTTTTTAGGGTTTTGTCACAGGGCAAAACCAGAGTGAGATAGAGACGCAGAGAGAGAGAGAGAGAGAGAGACAGAGAGAGAAAGAGAGAGAGAGAGAGAAAGAGGAGAGAGAAATCCCCCCTGGGGGATGGCCATGCTGCAATCCCTTCTCCATTCTCTTGGGATTTTGGGCACACATACAAATGTGCCCGGCATGATTTTCAAACTGCTGAATCTGGGACTTGAACTATAGTTAGCCATGTGGGAGTCTAGTTGCCTTAATCACCATACCACCTACTGGCCCCTTATTTTTTAATTTCTTTAGTTGCCAAAGAGTGTGTGCACTCATTAGAGAGAGAGGGAAAGGAAGAACACATCCTTTAGTGGGGCATTGTCACATTGCAATCCCTTGTCCTCCGTTTCTCTATCCCCTCGGGATTTGGGGCACATATGCCCATGTGCTCAGCATGTTTTTCGAGCTACTGGGGCGGAGATTTGAATCTCAGTTAGCCATGCGGGATCTGGCTTCCCTTAACCATCAGGCTGCAGGACTGGCCCAAGGGTTTTGTTATTTTTAAGTTTTACTGAAGAGTATTATTCTGAAACCATAATACCTGATGTGTGTTATTCTGGTATTTACTGTAATTATATTTTTAAAATTAGGAATTTCGTGAGGATATGCCCTCTATTCTCGCCGACGTATTCTGCATATTAGGTATGTATTAAGCCTTTATTTCACCTGTAATATGTGCTGTGTGGTAAATTAATGTACTGTTCTAAAGAAAATGTTTTCTTAAAAACTAATGATTTTACAAATGTACAAATGTTTCTGCACATCTAGAAGCAGGTTTTTTTTTACTTTATAGAGGATATAAGTCAAATATCAGTATAATCACTCTTCATAAATTAGCTTTAGAGTATAACTCAATAGTTTCAGTTTTTGATAATGCGTATTTATATAAGTTTGAGCTAAATTAAATGTAAAACAGCTAACTTTTTTGACATCGAGTTAGTTGGAGTTTTAGAGATCATAGTAACCAGATCTTACCGGGTGAAGGTATTGATGATATAAGAATCTCAATTATAGGACAGTCAAGAGATGTTTACTTTGCTGTTGTACTTTTTTGATTCTACTTAATTTTAGACAGCAAAAAGAGCCAAAGTAATAAAAAATACTTTTGTTTTGAGGATGAGAGACCAACTTTAGAGTAGCAACTTCTGTATTTGTCCAAAGTAAGAAAGGAATCTTTCTTTGACTTAGAACAAAAGGTAGTGCCCCTCCATGGGAAGCATGGGTTTAAAAAATAATATGCATTGCAAATTAATTTCTCTCATTTTAAATCTAGATTAAAGTCACTTTGAGTATTGTTTACTCCACCAGTCTTATGCTTAATGTAACTATGGACTGAATAGAAACTATTGTCAGACTTCACAATATTTACTTTAAAACAAATCTAATCCTCTGAAGGTTTGCAAGCTACAATGAATTATTTTAGCATATTAACTTTTTTTTTAAAAAGAGATATTTTTGCTATAGGGCACTTGGACTTGCTAGAAAGACAGAGAGACAAAAAGTGAGAAATAACCCCCCAGGTGGAATGGCCATGCCACAATCCCTTCTCCTCCATTCTCCTCTTGGGATTTTGGGCAGGCACACACATGTAAGCACGCACTCACGTCTAGTGTGAGTTTTAAGTTGCTGGGTCTTGGACTTGAACCATGGTCAACTATGTGAGAGTTCAGCAGTATAACCATTACACCATCTGCTGGTCCCTTAGCTCATTAATCTTAATTCCTACAATTAATTGTCTTACTGAGAGTCTAGAAATTGGTCTCAACAAATATAAATGCCTGGTGCTTGATCCTTCAGGATGTTTCAGATTTCATAACAGTGGTAATGTTGGGAATAGGTCAAAATGTATATGGACTGTGAGTAGTAAGTGAAAAGAGCAGACTATTGATGCAGTGACCATATGTCCTGGTTTAGTTTTATTTTCCCTGGGATAATTATTAATAATACCCTCTTTCTCTCTCAGTACTGTCCTGGTTTGGATGATAACATATATAGTCATGCTATCTATTGTAATGACTGATTTATGTCAATAAAAAGCCCCTTTAAGCTAACTTTTAGAAGCAGGATATTATATTATTTTACAAATAAATATAACATGACACAAGTTCAGTTTAAAATTTGTTTTTATTATAAACTTGTGAGACTAGAAGACTGATTTATAGCTAACATTTTGTGGAAACTGCTATTTCTTGATATCATGCTATCTATTGTAATGACTGATTTATGTCAATAAAAAGCCCCTTTAAGCTAACTTTTAGAAGCAGGATATTATATTATTTTACAAATAAATATAACATGACACAAGTTCAGTTTAAAATTTGTTTTTATTATAAACTTGTGAGACTAGAAGACTGATTTATAGCTAACATTTTGTGGAAACTGCTATTTCTTGATATTGCCAGGAGTTTACTTTGTATTTTTATTCGGGTAATCATAAATTATCAGCATACTATTTGTAGAGATATCTTTATTGACTTATTTTGGTAAAATATCTTTTCCATTCAAAGTTATTTAATTACATTAATTATGGTTACAAGTACTTTTTACTAGTAACACGAATTCATGAAGATGATATTTAGTTGCTCTTGGGAAATTTCTTTAGCCTGTCCAGACCATTTTTCAAGCAAGATTAGGATGGCAAACTTGGGAAGAGAATTTCCCTCTCCTGTCCTCTCATGTATCCCTACCCCTTAGCAGAAAGTAAAATGATCCAAAGGTGACCCCAGATCAAGGCAGGGAAATAGGAGTAAGAATGTGAGTGATCTTTAATGATGATGATAGTAATAATAATGGTAATAATAGTAATAGTAGTGGAGGTGCTATTTTTGGAGCACTTTCCATATTCTTCTTATTGTGTTAAAGAGTAAATTTCATTTTAATCCTCACAGCAACTTTAAACATAGGTGTAGAGATCAGAAAAATGAGGTTGAGAGAAGTCGTTATTCTTCAAAGTTATGTAAACAGTAAGGCAAGATTAGAAACTATTTTCTTTTGGGTTCAGAGTCCATGATATTTTTATTACAGCTTGTCTTTCTTATATGTTAAGAGTTATAATGGAAATCAGTGCTTAATTTACATGCAAAGATGACAACTTTGTTTTTTTTTTTTTTGAGAGTTTTTTTTTTCTATAAGGCGCGTGCGCTCGCCAGACAGACAGAGAGAGACAGAGAGACAGAAAGCGAGAAATCACCCCCCAGGGGGGATGGTCACGCCGCAGTCCCTTCTCCTCCATTCTCCTCTCGGGATCTTGGGCACGCACACACATGCGCCCGGCGTGAGTTTTAAGCCACCGGGTCTGGGACACGAACCGCGGTCGACTACGTGGGAGTCCAGCGACATAGCCATTACGCTAACTGCTGGTTCCCAAGATGACAACTTTCTTTAAAAGACTACTTATGTGAGAATGAAGGGGGCATGAGAGCTTTAGTAACTTCAGAGGGGGGTTATGATGTACATTGATGGGCTAGTGGATCCTTTGAGCCGGGGTAGGTAGCTGATAATACTGGAGTCTAGAGTTAGAAATGTCTGAAAGCTGGTTAGGAAAAATCATGGGGAAAGGAAAGTGAACTTATGTAGTGCCGATTTATGGTAAAGGAGTCAAGAATAATAAGTGAGCTTAGTAGAATGATGTTATAAGTTAGAACAGGAAAGATAAAGAAAATGGGGAAAGCACGTTTGGGATAATAGAGACCTGTATTGATGGTTAAGACAGTTTAACCAAGAGTTTATTGAGGTGTACTATTAAGCATTTGCCAACATGCTCATAATCCGAGGAGATACCTCAGTCAGGTCAGGTGGCTGAGAGGAAAGTAAACTTGAGTTGAAGAGAAGAGGCTGAATCTGCTATCAGCTTCCCTGATCTTAGGAATCTTGGGGATAGACCTTATGGACTTTAGGGTCCTGGAGGATAGATAGATGATGCTTAAAAAATGAGCTCAGTTTAGTATCCTTGAAGTTCTAGGTTAAGGAGGGACCAGAAGGCCAGATAACGGGGGAATAACCGAGAGTCCCTGGGAAGGATTGATTAGATACACATGGATTAAAAAATCTTAGTGTGAAACTGAGATTGTACTGCAATATATGTGCATAAATCACGCCCTAGTATTTCCTTAATACACTTGAGCTGTGTGTTTAACTACATTGGCCAGTTGACACTGTCTGAGAAGAGACATTTAGAGAACTTTAGGAGAAGGGTCATGGAAATATAAATTTGTTTGATGATAAATCCCCTTCTCTTTTGATTCTCAGTGTTGGCAGTAGAAAGTATACTGAAGCAAAGTAGTGGTAGTATGTCTGCTCTTTTTGGGAGAACATGTAGAGGACAATGTGTTATTTCAGTAAAACTGGTGCCTTTATAAAAAATTGCTAGTGGCTGTGTGTACTTGCTGGAGAGAGACAGAGACAGAAAGAGAGGGAAAGTGAGAAAGCACATGCCATGGGGGATGGTCATACCACAGTCCCAATCCCTTTCCCGCTATTTCTCCTTTCAGGATTTTTGGTACGAGTACACGTGTGCCTGGAGTGTTTTTTTTTTTTTTTCTTTTCTTTTCTTTTCTCTTCTTTTCTCTTTTTTCTTCTCTCTTTTCTTTTGTTTTCTTTTCCTTTTTTAAAAAATTTGCTATAGGAAGCATGCAGTTACTAGAGAGATACAGAGACACAGAAAGAAAGGGAGGGAGGGAGAGAGGGAAAGTTAGTAAACATGCACCAGCTGTGTTTCTCAAGCTGCCCGGTCTGAGTCCCATGCAATCGATTGTATGAGATTCAACTACCTTAGCCACCATGCCATCGGCTGGTGTCTCTTTTTATAGCACATTCTAAATGATCATTTGACTTCAAAATTAGGTTAGTATGCAGTCAGTTAAAGCAGTAATCCTGAGATCAGCCTTGTTTGTAGTCTTGCCAATCTTGGTAGAAATTTTTGATGTTTGGCATTTGGTGCTAATTATTTTATTTTCTCTACATCTCAGATCAGAAAATAGACAAATTTTCTGAATCATTTACTGAAACCCAAGGTCTCAGTTTTTAAATATTTCAATAGGAAGAATTGACTAGAATTACAATTCAAAATAAGAAAATATCTTTTAATATTGTTTTCTTTTTCATAGAGTTGGCAGTCAGGTGTCTTGCTTCGTTATAATGCGGTGGCTTGACCAAGGTGGCCAACATCAAGGGTTTCAACTTCATAACTAAGATCTTTAGAGTAAGAAGAGATTTTTTTAAAAAGGTTTTTGCCATAGGAAATGTGCCCTCTTCTGGAGAGAGACAGTGAGAGGGAAAGTAAGAAATCACCCCCCAGGGGGAGGGGGAGGATGACCATGCTGCACTTTCTCCTCCATTCTTCTCCTGAGATTTGGGGCACACAAACGCCTGGTGTGATTTTCAAGCCACTAGGTCTGGGACTTGACCTGTGGTTGGGCATGTGGGAGTCCAGTGCCATAACCACTTCGCTACCTGCTGGCCTCAAGAAGAGATCTTGGTTGTCATCCAGTTCAACTTGCCACCTAGGGAAATAATGTGTCAAGTGGTTATGTTTTTTTAAACATTTGCTAGAAGGCATGTGGGCTTGCTAGAGAAAGAGAGAAAGTGAGAAAGTACGCCTCGAGGGGAATGGCCACAATACAATACCCCCTCCTCCTTTCGCTCTTCAGGATTTCTGGGCATGATTGCACATGGCATGTCCCTCAAATTGTTGGGTCTGGGACTCGAATGGGGCTGTTGGCCATATGGGGTCTAGCTACCCCAACCACAGTGCCAACCAGCTGGCCTTATCAACTGGTTGTTTAAATTTTGTTTGAATGTTTCCCTCTTTGAGAACAGTTTTTTTTTGAGGCTTTGTTGCTTCCAGTGCCACAGCAGGCAGCTCCTGTGCATTTGACTTAGCATTTTGTGGATATGTCATAGATCACAGGGTCAGTTTTCAATATTACAAGAAAGTAAAACATTTGTATGCACATGAAGGATGATATCTATTGTACTGTACTTTAAGATTTTTCCAAATTGAGTATCGGGCATTTTATAATTAGCTAGTTTTAAAGAAAATAAGCATCTCATTTTAGTGCTAGAGTGCAAATTTTCATTTGTTTTTCTTTATCACTATAGATATTGAAACAAATTGTTTAGAAGAAAAAAGCAAGAGGGACTATTTTACACAGTTGGTATTAGCATGTTTGGTAAGTTTAAAAAGTACTTTTCTTTTGTGCTTTTGTGTTCAATAGTTTTAAGTGCAGTTAATCATGTTAATAGAGGAAAATAGTGACATGTGAAATTAAACATGCTATTTCTATGAAATAAGCATGTTACAATATCCCTTTAACTGTCTGTACATATAAAACATTTGGTGATATTCCTATCCTAGTAAGTTCCTAAGTAAGAAAAAGGTAAGCATCTATAAATTTAAAGTAAGTAGAGATGATTATAGAAATCTTTTAAATGTAATTTTTTCATAAACTCTTATTAGAAAGGAGGTGGTTTACCAATAATATATTCCTGAACTTGTCATAATCATTGTCTAGTAAACAGTTTATGTTAATACATTTAGAATCAAAGATATATGCCATTACTCAGATCTTGTCCTTGTGTTTGTTATATTGGAAGTTGATTATAATGTGATTTACAGTACAAAATAAAGCTGAAGCACTGTATTGTCTTAAACAAAAATTTTATTAAAATAGATTAAATTTGAGTGAGAATTTCATCTATAGTTCTTGTAATTTGTAGGCTGTATGTAGCATGTATATAAATTTTGAGTACATTTTTAGGAAGAGTTAGTTGTATATTGTATATTTCAATATCTGAGAAGTCACTTTTGTTAAATTAAACTTCCAAACCTTTTTCTCAATTATGTGTTGATACATACAGAATGTGATTTTTGTGTTCTTATTTGGGAAACATTATTTTGAGTATAGTCAACAGTGTGGATGCATAGCTGGAATGCTAAATGCTTTTAATATTTTTTAATACAGTATTTAGTTTCAGACACAGTTCTAAAGGAACGCCTGGATCCAGAAACTTTGGAATCATTAGGGCTTATCAAACAATCACAGCAGTTCAATCAGAAGTCAGTTAAAATCAAGACAAAACTCTTGTAAGTACATTGCACATCTTCTGTTGCAAATCACGTAGCTGTTTATGTTTTTTAGTTCTCATTTTGAGTCTGAACAGTTTCTAGAGAGAGAGAGACTTTGAAGATTTTGTTTGTTTTTAGCCATGTATGTTACGTTTTTTTGCCTTCTAAAATTAGTCTAAGATTATTGAGTTAGCAGGGAGGTTTGCCTGTGTAAAGCCAATGTTGATTTTGTCTGTATTGGAAGTTAAAATAATAGTCAGTGGTTTTATTATTATCAACAAAATACTTCATGATTATGGCTATACTTAGACTGTGTCCTTAGTCAATGATGGAAGTAGCAGTGTGTTATTGTTGCTTGGTATTACCAATATCCTTTCCTTGGTTATTGGTTTTCCTTGTGTACTACCGTGGTTCTCTTTGAACCACTGTTATTTCCTACTCTAAAAGATACACAAAGAGGTAGACTTTCAAACTTTTTATGATTACTGTAATTTAGAGATAAGAAAGTTGAATGAGAATATACTATTACTGTGTGCAAGCTTGTTAATTGAAATTGATTTTATACACTTAATGATATTTATCTTATTTCAGTTATAAGCAGCAAAAATTCAATTTATTAAGAGAAGAAAATGAAGGTTATGCCAAGCTGATTGCTGAATTGGGGCAAGATTTATCTGGAAATATTACTAGTGATTTAATCTTAGAAAATATCAAATCTTTAATAGGTAAGACATAAATACTATGTGTTATTAGATAATTGTTTTAACTGTTGGAGAATATACATAAAGATAAAGATATGCATCCCATACAATTTTTTAAAATTAAGAAATAAGTTTCTAGCTTGTACTTTTGAGTTTATCAGTAATTATAAAATTCAGCATGATATTTATGAGAAGTCTTTTTGTCACTGTTACCTGTGTATTTATAATTGTCCCTGATTTCTCTAGTGATTTCTACCTTTATTTTCAAAGTATTTTTCCATCAGTTTTTAGAGAGCAGAAAATAAATAAAACTTTAATCAATTTTCAGTGAACTCTTGAAACCTAGAAATTTGTTGTTCTTTTGAAGTTGATTTTAAAAATACCTTTACTAAGGACTTTGATACACCTTTTATCTTTACAACACCCTATTAAAGTGTAACAGATGTTACAAAAATGTAACAGATAGGAAAGAGTTATTTTCCATACCTATTAAATAGAATTTCTGTAGCATTATTATTTTTTTCTATTTGTATTGAGTGTTTTGAGGCAATAGTTGACATCTAGAAAGGAGGAATGATTGGTAGAAAAATAGGCTAATCCTGACTTTTCAAGGGTGAGAAGTATTTTTGCTATTATTTTTGTAGGTGATGTGCTGTCTTAGGAAGGTTTTACACTACCTAGGAGTCTTAGGTTTTGAAATTTGCCAAAGAAGTCATATTTCCTGCCTCACTGGTTATCTTTTATGTTATGTTTATCTTCAACTTCTCAGTTCATTCCCCCCCCCTTTTTTTTTTAGTTTATGTATTACTAAGAGATAGAGGAGGTATCTTTATCCCCAATCTTTATCCCCTTCCTCCAATGCTTTGTGTAGAAACCCCAATAAAACTATATTTACTATAGTCATCCTTGTTTTTAGCAAAAGCTTTTGGTGACCAACAAGTTTTGGAGGTAAGATAACTTTTTTTTTTCTTTTTTTGCCATAGGGCACATGCACTTGCCAGAGACATGAGAGAGACAGAGAGACAGAAAGTGAGAAATCACCTCGTGGGGGAGATGGCCAAGCTTCAGTCCCTTCTCTTGGGATTTTGGGCATGTACACACATGCTTCTGGTGCAAATTTTAAGCTGCTGGGTCTGAGACTTGACCACGTGGGAGTACAGCAACATAACCATTATGTCATTTGCTGGTCCTGTTAAGATAGCTTTTTATTTAAATTTATCCTTCTCTTTGAAATAAGTCTTATTCTGGCAGCTGTCTACATTCTTTGCTGTATCCTTGTGTTGTCAATTTAATATCAAGATGGGTAACCTTCCAGGGCTTCAGAATTCTCACTTACCTGTGTGGCAGTGGCTCATATTTAAAAATCCTCCTATTCTTTCCAGGATAGACTCTACATTTTTCCTGGAGTGTTTTCTCATCTGCTTTGAGAATCTTGTCAGTACTTCCTTGCTATAGGTTCATCTTTCCTTGCATCCTGTGTTGTATTTTATTAAGATAGTATTCCTCACATAAAAATTCTGTGCTGTGTAAGCTCCTCAGTTGTTTTTTTGATTTTACTTCATCTCCTTGTTTGTTCGTTTTAGTAGATAGAAAAGATTTGTTCACTTTCTAAAGGGGAGGAAAGGGGCCAGATATGAGAGAGTCACATCAGTCCTGAAGAGAAGAGGCTAGGGACTTTTAAAGGAAAGTGATTTAGGATGGGGTGGCAGAAGCCAGATGGTCTTTTACAACATATGAGTTGTTCAGATTTTATTTCTGGATCCGTCAGCCACCTGCAGTAAGATCCAGTAGCATCCGTTTCTTCCCTCCTTTCAAGTGAAAATCTTTCTCTGATCTCAAGGAATTCCCCACTAGGGCCTTTCCCCTTTCACCAGACCAGCTAGACACAGTTTGACCCTTTAGGCTTTTCTCCCTGCTCTGCCAGGGGTACTCAAGATTTCCTGAGACATTGCCTTCTCTCAAACAGAGCTCAAGTTAAGAGACAAATATCCAGAGGTAGAACCCTTAAAAAAAAAAGAGAAAGAAAATTGCCAAGGCATCTGTGGAACTTTGAAGGTGCCCTTCTCATCAAAAATGTCTAAGATATCGGGGCTGGGCCTAGATGTTCTTTCATTTCCACCTCAGGTTTTACAAAAATGTATTCCTTTTTCAATTTAAATTTAAATTTAATTTCACTTATATCACTATTTTTTAGGTTTTTGCCAGGGGCATGTGTTGCTGGAGAGAGACAGAAAGAGGGAAAATGGAACTTCAGTCTCCACAGGGTTGACCACATTGAGATCCCTTTTCTTTCATTCTCCTCTTGGAATTTTGGGCATGCACACACACATGCCCAGCATGATCTTCAAGCCGTTGGGTCTGGGACTCAAACTATGGTCAGTCAGGTAGGAGTCCAGTGTCTTAATCACCATGCCACCTGCTGGTCCCAGGATAAACTTATTCTTCATGAAGGTCTGAGGAGTGGGAGCAAAGATTTCTTCTGTTGCTGCTTCCTACTCAGTGAGGATGGTAGACTTGGCCCTGCCTGTCGATTCTAGTCAAGGTCATTAAGATGGAGAGGGTGGAATCAAACAATTTGGAATGAAAGGCCAGGGTGGTAGTCTTAGGCTTCTTGATAAGGGAGTCTCCCAGTGCCTGGACATTCTTTTGAATAAAGGATATCAGAAAGTGAAGGCAAGGCCCAAAAAAGCAAGGAAAGTGAGAGAGAGAGGGAAAAAATCCAATAGGTCCAAGGAAGGGAGTTAGCTTGGAAAACCAGGACCAGATGTTGTTTTAAAAATTCTACAAATCAAAGCCACCTGAGATTCTCCTGTCTTATAAAACTTACCGGCTCGATCTGATATATTTTAAAGATTGGTTTGGACCTTTCCTGATTAATTTGAATACTTGTTACAGCCTGGGAAGCAGTCTTGGAACTGTGGATGACAGAAAAAACAACTATAATTAATAATGATATCAGTTTATTACAATAATGATGTAATAGATAAAGATTAATTTAGCTATTTCTATGACATACAGCAGTTAAAGATGACAAACAGAATTGTGACTGGTGGAATTACATCAGTATAATTAGTTTTAGTACATTTATCAACAAAAATCTTAACCTTATTAATATTTATAACTTTCTTAGACTTTTTAAACATAACTCAAAACTTCATGTTTAGTTTATCTCTTTTTTCTTTTCTTTTTTTAAAAGAATTATTCTATTCAGTTTTATCCACCTATTTATTTTAGTTTGACCAGAGAGGGACAGAGAAAGAGCACGTAAGAAAGCAAGTTGCCAGGTCTGGGACTCGAACTGCATTTGGCCATGTGGGAGTCCAGCACCCCCAACCACAATGCCACCTGCTGGCCCCGCTTCTTTTCTTTTACTTTAGTTATTTTACCTTGTGTACTGGTGCTAGAAAAGCCAGTAAACGAACACTGTTAAGACAAATACGATGTTGTTTGCTCATAAAACCCTGGACAGAATTATATGTTGGAGATGTGACTGGTAAAGCTAGTCATTAAGCCAGCTTATTTGTTAAAGATTTACTTAAGTCATGTGAACTTGAAAAGCATTTAGATTGATTTGTCCAAGTGCTCTTATTTATTTACAAGCCAAATTGAACAGAATTCCTTAGGGATTTTTACTGTATAACATACAACATACTACACATGTATAATATACACATAAACTAAAGATCTTGTCCTAAGCAGGGTTAGGGCAATTGGGAATTACTATCAATAGAAAGAAATGAGCAAACACTTCATCTCCCAGATCATAAAGTAAACTTGGGGCCTGTGAAGTAGGTTGTAGCCTCCCTTTGACCTCTTTGATGGAGACAGGCAAAGGAGAAAAGGGACCCAAAAACTTGGGAAGAGCAAAATAAGTGTCTTCAGTATCAATTAAGAAGTCAGTTAACTTACCTGCAGTGGAGAGAGTTACGTGAGGCTTGGCCAGTTTGATGTCAGGACCTGTCAGTCTGAGGTCTGGAGGAGAACAAGGAGGTTCTTGTGAGGGTCTGCCAGTTCTGGAAGAGGGGTTCCATCTCCTCTGAGGAGAGGGTCCTCCTTTCTCTAATGTCCTGTTTACACAGTGGACATGGTCCTGGTGGCTACCATTTTCTCTGAGAACGATTATTCCTCCAGTGACCCTCCTGCTTGCAGTTGCAGCAGATTTGGGGCCCTGGTGTTGTTAGTGAAGGTCCTTGCTGTAATTGTTTGAGGGACATTGGGTAAGTCCTCCCCTGAGCCTGAAGCACTCTCTCAGTTGCAGACCAAGCATTTGGAAGGCTTCTTTTTGTTCTCAGGACCATTGCGAGTCTCATTATCTTTTCTCTTTTCACCTCTTCTCATCACAGTTGTTAAAGACCTTGCTTGAAGGCCAGGTCTATGAAATTGTGAGGTCTGAGTGCTGTTTTCCAATTTTTGGAGCTTACGCCAAGTATCAGGAGCTGACTGGGAGATGATCTACATTGCAAGAATAGATTGACCCTCCCTGGAGTTTGGGGTCTAAATTAGTATAGAGGCTGAGGGCCTCTGCGAGCCTGGAGAGGAAGACTGCAGGATTCTCATCTGGACCCTGTGTAATTTCTTTAACCTTATTGTAATTGTCATAGTTGTGGCACACTTCATTCCCTCAATCAAGATCGTAGATTGATAGTCCCTATTAGGATCTTGATCAGGGACAGTGGTGGAACCAGCAGCATAAGCACCCGGCTGCCTCCAATTAAGATGATGTCCATATTCCCTGGTTTTGGCCCAGATGTGATCTCTCTCCTCAGGGTTAGTGCAAGTGGAGAAAATGATGTGAACATTCCATCATGATAGGTAGTAAGATAGAGTGAAGTAATTACAATTTACAAAATTCCTTTGTGAATTTAGTCCGATCAACAGAAAAACTGCTGAGTTTAGCCTTAATTTGAGAGAGCTCAGACATTAAAAGGGTCATGGGCTCTGATAATGCCAATAGCTCCTGCAGTTTCATGTAAGGAAAACTGGTGTGCTAAATGGGAGGGTCCCTGGAAGTACTGGCCTGAGTGAGTATGACCTGGGGAAAGCAGAGAGGAAGAGGAAGAGGATGAAGTGAAAGAGGATCGAGAGGTACAAAAGTGATGGTGGAGAGGTGGAAGAGGACTCTTGAGGTTGCTCAGGCAGGTTAGGGGTTAATAGTGAGGGGGGACCCAATGCTGACAGGGTGACATTTTCAGAGTTTTGGTTGGGAAGAGAAGGTAAGAGAGTAGGAGTCAGAAGCATCCAGCAGGAGGAATGAAGATCAGAATTGTGAGTTCAAAGAAAACTTGTGCGTAAGCAACTTCTTTCCATTTCTTAAGGTTGCAACAGTATTTGTCTAGTTAATGAACGGCATTAAAATGTAATGATCCTGGGACCAGCAGATGGCGTAATGGTTATGTCGCTGGACTCCCCCATAATTGATCAACATTTGAGTCCTGGACCTGGTGTCTTAAAACTCAGGCTGGGCAGGTGTATGCATGTGTGTATATATTCAAAGTCTTGAGAGGAGAATGGAGGAGAAGGGATTACAGCATGACCATCCACCCTGGGGTGATTCCTCACTTTCCATCTGACTCTCTCTAGGGAGTGCATGCACCCTATAGCAAAAATCGCTCTTAAAAAAAGTTAACGATCTGTTTATTGGCCAGACTTTCTGGTCCCCCAGTTTACATGGGGCTGGACTGTGTTGCAGTAGAAAAGGCATTTAGGCTTGAGATTGGTAAATCCTAGAGCCTTCAGGTTCTTAAGGAGATATTCCAAGGGGGAGTCCCTGGGAAAGGTTGACTGAATGTTAGAAAAATAGAGAAACCTCTCAGGACCTTTCAGGGTTTTTATAATGCCACAAGGGAGGGGTGAGGTCTGCTTCCTGGCTAAGTGTCCTTAGTATGAACTGAGACTGACCTCAGGTATCTCTGCGTCCAGATGCAGGCCAACCTTAGATCTTTTCCAGATGAGGCATCCCTCAGTTCTGGACCCAGGCTGACCTTAGGCTCTGTCCCCAGAACCACATGTCCCTGTGCCAAAATGAGACTGACCATGGGGAAAAGTTCAAAGGGCACCCCCCAGTTTTGAATCTTGCTAGAGAGACCTAGCACTAGGAGTTTTTAAACCTGGGCAGCTATCACTTCCATTGGTGAATGTTGATATCCTTAGGGCAAAGAGGGGGGAAAGTGAAAGGGGCCTGGAATTTACCTGCAAAGAGCCACAGATGCAAGCTGGTGATGAAGTGGTTCACTGATGCAGTTAACTACTGAGCCAGAGGGATGGGCGAGGAGAAGAAGACAGGAAAGAAAGTCCTGTGACAAGTTCAGAGACAGGGCCAGGGTATTCAGTTCTCATCTAGGTGCAAGTCTCTAAGGGTGCAAGAGAGAGATACTGTCTCCTTGTAGGGAGATGTCCCCCGACAGGAAGAGAGTTCCCTCTTTAGGCCACCCAAGTGTTAGGATGATCTGTGTCACAGTCTGTGAAAGAATTCACAGACTCAGTGAGTGGATAGGAAAGATTTAGTCACTTTCCCAAAGGGGAGGAAGGAGGCCAGATGTGAAAGTTGCATCAACCTATCACCTCTTTTGGTTGATGTTTCTTTTTTCTATTATTCTTTGTTTTGTCCTTGTGAGTTTATGCCTTTTTATTCCCTTGTTATTTTGGGAAGATATCAAAGAGGGAGTTTCTTGAAGGTGTGCTTTTCCCTTTTTATTTTTTAGGATTTTTGCCATAGGGCGCATGTACTTTGTAAAGAGCTAGACAGAGCTAGAGAGAAGGAATGAGAAATCACCCCCTGTCCACACTGCATTCCCTAGCCCTCCATTCTCCTCCAGGGATTTTGGGCATACATGCACACATTCCGGGTGTGAGTTTTAAGCTGCTGGATTGGGGGCTTGAACTATGGTCAGCCATGTGGGAGTACAGTGCTTTAACCACCATGCCAACTGCTGGCTCCTGCATACTTTTCTCTTACTGGAAGGCGAAAACAAGAAACCCTAGTTTTCTTGAACTTTGGTCTCATCGAGAACAGGTTATATTACTGTCACTGAAGATCAGTGTGACAATCACAACAGTAAGCTCATGACATACATGAATATTCCACGAGTCTCAGCAATTTGATTTCTTGCACTAAACCTCTATTCTTACCCATCAAGTTTAGGCCAGAGTCAAATGTCACTTTACAGTGAGGCCTTCTTTGGCTACCCCTGTCAAATAAGAGATTATTTTGCTTTTTATCACTTTAATCACCATATAATGTATGGTGTATTAATTAATTAAAAACTTGCTATATGGTGTGTTTGCTTGTGAGAGAGAGAGAAAGCACACCCCCAGGGGGGGTTGGCCACATCATAGTCCCTTCACCTCCATTTTCCTCTTGGAATTTTGGGCATACACACACACATAACTGGCATAAGCCACTGGTCTAGGCTGCAAACTGAACTGCTGGCCACGTGGGACCTAGCTGCATTGACTACCATGCCATTGGCTGGCCCTGTGAAGTAGTTTAACCACCACCGTGAGAATGTAAGCTCCACGAGGACAGAAATTTTTGTCTATTTTATTTAGAACCTTATCCTCAGTGCTAAATAAATACCAGGCAAAAAATGAATAAATGTCTCCCTACTTTTTATAAAGTTTATAATGATTCTTAGCCTCTTTTTGCTGACATGGAGAATTTTAGAAAGTTTATGTCCATGGCTCAGTGTTTGTTTCTCTCTGGCTAGATGACCTCCCCCTCCCCTCAATTTTCTGAGAAAGGAACTTTTCATCGATGTGAAAATTGAGGTTAAGACTTCAATTCCAATGAGTATTTTTCAATTCCAGTGAGTATTTTTTAATGTTAGAATTTATTGTATCCCTCTTAATGTAAACTCCATTCAGGCCTTGTCTCATCTCGGCAGAACAGCCCACTGACATAGCATTTTATTTTTCATAACATCTCTGCATGGATTTCTCTGTATGTGTTCCCATTATTTTCTCTTTAGGAACAATCTGAACAGGTAATAAATGCCTCATACAGAATTACATCATGCCTGATCTCCATCACCAGCCATTGTCAGAAACTGATACCTACTTTGGGAGTAAGTGTTTAGGTGCCTTTATTCTCTGGATACTTGGTTTTATCAGAAGAAATCCTTATTTATCAACTTTTATTTAGTTAAAAGGCCATTTATTTGCTCACTAAAAGATTCTGGCACATCAAAATGTTTATGTCCTGTCAGAGAGCCTTACTGCCGGTGGAAACTAGAAAGCAGAACCATTTTGAGTCTATATGGAGGTTGTGATCTTAAGCCTGACACTAAATGTTAGTAATTTCTTAAATGCAAATGAATACTGATTTAGTAGACTCTTGAGTTGCCAAGTCATAGACCTTATACAAGTGGTTCTTGCATCAATTTGGAAAAAAGCATCTTTTAGATATTAGAGGAAAGGATGTCAGAGGTGGACGGACTCCTTTGATTGCTGAACCCAACTATAGGTACTATATTCTTCTGGATTCCCTTCAGAAAAATCAAGACATCATGTTGTACACTTTAAATGTATACAATAAAGGGAACCAGCAGGTAGCATGGTGGTGAAGGTGCTGGACACTCCCACATGGCTGACCATAGTTCAAGTCTGGGACCTGGTGTCTTGCTTTTTCAGTTTCTCTCTCTCTATCTTTTAGATATTAGAGGAAAGGATGTCAGAGGTGGACGGACTCCTTTGATTGCTGAACCCAACTATAGGTACTATATTCTTCTGGATTCCCTTCAGAAAAATCAAGACATCATGTTGTACACTTTAAATGTATACAATAAAGGGAACCAGCAGGTAGCATGGTGGTGAAGGTGCTGGACACTCCCACATGGCTGACCATAGTTCAAGTCTGGGACCTGGTGTCTTGCTTTTTCTCTTTCTCTCTCTCTAGTCAAATCAAAATGAATGAATGAATGAATGAATAAACTTAAATAAACAAACATATACACACACACAATAAGAAAATGATTGCTAAGTATTCTTTCTTTTCTTTCTAAGTAAGTGGTCAGCAGACTTTTCCTGTAAAGGGTGAAGTAATAATTTTTGGCATTGTGAGCCATGTGGTTTCTGCTGCAAGTGCATGCGAACCTTTGCCATAATAGTGAGAAAGCGGTCATAGACAGTATGTAAAGAAATGAGTGTGACTGTTTTTTTTTAAGAATTACTTTATTTAACTTTACCCATTTATTTATTTATTTTCATTTGACCAGAGAGGGATAGAGTGAGAGGGAGAGTGTGAGAGAAGATTAGAAAGCAAGCCACCAGGTCTTGGACTTGAACTGTGGTCGACCATGTGGGAGTCTAGTGCCTTTAACCACCAAGCCACCTGGAAGCCCCTGAGTGTGACTACTTTAATAAAACTTTATTTATAAAAATAGCCAAATGGATTTAACCCACAGACCCATTTGCTAATCTTTTATTTAAATTAAAAGTTCTCTCTAAAAATGAGTCATGGAGCTAACTTATCTTGAACTTAGTTTTAGAGAGTGAAAATGATTCTTCCTAATATAGTGTTTAATGGTCTAGCATTTTTTTGGCCCAGCTCTAATCTTTGCCTTCTCTTTGAGAATGAGAGATCTCTCCAACAGACATCAGGAATTCTCATTTGTCACCTGGTGTCCAGGGTTATAAATTGAACTGTGGAAGGATAAAATCAGTCTCATAAATCTTGGTTACTTGTTAAGTGACCAGAGAAACATTAAAAACAAAGCGACCCCCCTGGGGGGTGATTTCTCGCTTTCTGTCTCTATATCTCTCTCTGTCTGTCTGGCGAGCGCATGCGCCCTATAGTGAAAACCTCTCAAAAAAAAAGTGAAACCCTAAGCCAAATGATTTTATAGGATAGATTATGGGGTGTTTTACCCCTTTATTTAGATTATTTTGCATATGCTTAGTATTTTATCTTTGGATCAATCTGAATATAAGTCCATTCAGCTTAGATGTGTGTTACTGTGTCTGCTGTCTTATCCCTTTGAAAGAAAAGTGAGTTGACTCCTTTCTTTACCTAAGGTTTTACATTATTGAAGTTTCTTGACTACATTTAGAAAGATTTCTCCCACTGCTATGAAGAGGAAGACAGCAATTGTTCTCAAGCATAGTTTTTTAAAATAATCATTCTTTTGTTAGATGCATTTTTTACATATTGGTTTATAGGTTCTTACCTTGAGATGTGCAATTTTTTGCCGATAGTATTTCTTAGAAATAATCTAGCATAGCTTTCTATTAGCCCGCTTCTAAAGGAATTCTTTTCTAGTTCCTGTATTGTTCCTTTTTGTTAAAAATATGGCTTTTCTCTGTCTCCAAAGTTCCAGTCTCTCAGGAACATGATAATTGAGGCTGTAATTCTGTATTTTTGTCTGAAATGTATAGGCTGGCCTTTCAGTCATATTTACAGTATTAACTTAGTCTTTTAGTTTTCTTTTAAGAACCTCAATTTGGCTTTATTCCTGTAACAGCCAATGTCAGTTTAGTCATATTTCTTGCCCCTCCTTGTAGTCACCATAATATATTGTCCATCTTTGGGGAAAACTTCATTTATTCTTCAGGGCGTTTCTTCAAAGATGTTATCACCCAAAAGGTGTGAATTCTCATCAAGGAGAGAGAAGGCATTTTATTAACCTGTGAATCACAAGCACCTGGCACATAAGTAGTAGTTATTTAGTGTTTATTTAAATCAAGGAATGAATCTGTGGGCATTACATATCTGCCATTTCTTTGTATTTCTACTTGTTCACTTTCAGGATGGTTCCCTGCTTATTCCTTGGAGGCTTAAAGACATCATGTCTGTGTGTGTGTGTGCACGCACGTGCGCATGTATTTATATATTTCCCAGTGTAGCTGGTGGTAGAGGTAAAGAGCTAGGCTTATCATCTCTGTCAAGATCATATGACTATTGATGCTTGGGCTGGACAAAGCCTTTCTAAGATGCGTGAACACAAGAGTGTCTATGTTCTCCCCCCCCTGCCATTAGAAAAAAAATTTTTTGACATTCAAGCTTACTGTTTGTTACTAGAGTTTCATTGCATATGAAATAGCTTTACTGTTACTTAAAACCCTAAGGTTTTGAAAACAATTTTCTGATCCTTTATTTTGGCTACTTTTTCCATCTTACAGATAGAATTGATTGGATAACTTATAGCACTTGAAATATTTAATGGAAAACTCATAAGCCAGTTTTATTTTGTGAAAGATACAAAGGTTATCATCTATTATAAATAAAAGTACGTGGTTGTACGTGGTTATTCTTTCACATTAGTGCCTTAAATTGTACATAGAAAGAAATGGTAGTTGAGAGTACAGATCACTGATAGAATAGCTTTGATGGAGATAAGTAAAATACAATATTAGGGGACCAGCAGATGTAGTAGTTAAGGTGCTGGACTCCCACATAGTTGACTGTAGTTCGAGTCTTGGACCTGGTGGCTTGAAACTCACACCAGGCCCGTGTGTGTGTGTCCGTCCAAAATCCTGAGAGGAGAATGGAGATGAGAAGGGATTGCAGTGTGGTCATCCTCCCGG